CTCTGACATTTCTGAATGTGATCAGGAGATGATTCTAATAGGAGATGTGTATTTCCATTACCCTGAACAACAATAAGTGATGGATCACAAATTCCGCAGGTCTTAACCAGCATCTCATGTAGTATGTAAAATAATACCTACCATGTATTTTGTTAGTGTATGATTTGTGAACTAGTATCTTAAATCATAATGGAGACGTTACTGGCGCCCGCTCGAGCAAATCGACGACTCACGGGAAGTTAAGTGATTAAGTGATCTTAAATCATGGATTTGCAAACATTTGTCAACTGTAAAACATTGAAAAGTAGTGTACTGCGGGGCCAGAGTGGTAGTACAGCAGGTAGGGCTTTTGCCTTGCACAGGCTGACCTGGGTTCAATTCTTGGCATCCCATATGGTCCCCCACACACCACCAGGAGTAATTCCTGAGTGCAGAGCCAGGAGTAAGACCTGAGAGCATTGCTGGGTGTGACCCAAAAAGAAAAAAAAAGTAGTACTGTCTGCACACAAGATATACTATACATGTTGCCAATCTAAACAAACATAAACCAATGATGGAAAAACCTCAGTAACATTTTCTATTTGATGAATAATAGCACTGCCATAGCTAACAAGCATGAGAAACATCAGGGGAAGCCTAAAGCCACTGCCCATGTGAATTCTAATTTATTCTTGTTGCTTCCTTGCTTATGCCAACTTCTGGGAACTTTATTTTATTTTATTTTATTTTTGCTTTTTTGGATCACACCAGGGCATTGCACAGGGGTTACTCCTGGCTCTACACTCAGGAATCACTCCTGGGGGTGCTCAGGGGACCATATGGGATGCCAGGAATCGAATCCGGGTCGGCTGCGTGCAAGGTAAACGCCCTACCTGCTGTGCTATTACTCCTGCCCCACTTCTGGAAACTTTAGATTTTCAAACCTGTGATATATTGTATCTACTTTCCAATTCAGAAATATTTTCAAGATGATACCTCAATTGAAGCACAATATACAATGAAGCTCCTCATTAATAATCATTATTATCAGTATTATTATTCTGATTTAATTTCTCAAGTAAAATCCAGTTTCACGTTGGGCTTAAGTTTCCAAAGTCATAGTCCAAAAGGTAACAGACACTTAGTAAAAAACACTGGAAAATCTGCATTTATTTAACTTTGTTCACAAACATAAATGAAATAGATTGTGAATGCACTGTTTTTTTAATGCCAAAATCACTACAAAAATGTACTTGAGTGAACTATATTCCCATCACAAGAATATTCTATTACTTCCAGTCCTCCTTCTTTAAAAGAAAAGAAAGTATTCGTTTAGAGTGTTGATAAGAACACCTGGAAAGAATAGAGAGCTCTGCCTGGAGAATGCAGAACAGGATTTGTCACCACTTTCCACAATCCTCCTTGACTAGGACAAGTCTATTCAGCCAGTCTACATCAGAACAAATGCTATTTTTATCTTATCAAGGGTGTGCATACCCTTTAATATCAATTATCCAGTAAAGAATCCTTAGTATTTCAAATAGAAAATATAAATAGCAACTAAATCCTTACCTGTGTTCAGGAAGGGGAAAAGATGGTATAATAATTAACATTTTAATTATAATTAATTAAAATTTTCAAGGTAAATTAGATAAAACCAGACCATATTTAGAATATTTTTTTCTTTTTGGGTCACACCCGGCGAAGCACAGGGGTCTCTCCTCATTCTGCACTCAGGAATTACCCCTGGTGGTGCTCAGGGGACCATATAAGATGCTGGGAATCTAACCCAGGTTGGCCGCGTGCAAGGCAAATGCCCTACCCGCTGTGCTATTGCTCCAGTTCCATATCTAGAAAATTTTGGTTGCTTTTTGGGTCACTCTCAGTAGTGCTCAGGACTTACTTCTAGCTCTGTGCTTATGAATTACTTCTGGCGGTGCTTGGGGACCATATGGGATGTCAGGGATCAAACCTGGGTTGGCCATATGCAAGGCAAGTGCTCTGCCTGCTATACTATTGCTCCTACCTTATATCTAGAATTTAATCCACAACTCAATTTGTGGGTACACCCAGAACTATCAGAGATTATGGCTTGCATTTTCAAGATTTTCTTTGTCTTTAGCGCAATAACATTTTAAAAAATTGCAAGATATTAAATGATGGAAAAGAATATATCTGAAAATTCATTACATTCTTATGTTTCTTTTTTCCCTGTCCAAAAGTTTAAAATATTATTCATAAAATCTTGCTCTCCTTATGCTATTTTCACAATTTTCTTAATTCTAAAATAAACATATTAGGGGCTGGAGCAATAGCACAGCAGAGAGGGCATTTTCCTTGCACGTGGCCGACCCGGGTTCAATTCCCAGCATCCCATATCGTCCCCCGAGCACTGCCAGGAGTGATTCCTGAGTGCAAAGCCAGGAGTAAACCCTGAGCATCGCTGGGTGTGACCCAAAAAGCATAAAATAAACATATTAGCTCTACCAAAATTTTATAACGAAGAAAATTAAGTAAAATAGAGCCATACTCGACATTTAGAACATAAGTTCTAGCATGTTAGAGTAAACCTTTCTACTTTTTTTGTCCACATATGTATTTCCTCTCATTATATTACACAGAAAAAGCACCAAAATATGCATGTGCACATCAACCCAAAACTTTCATCAGTTAAACAAATTCAAATAGTAAATTCAGAAAAATAGCCAATATTCTGATATTGTGAAATATTTGATATTTCATAATTCTGCATGATACAAATCAGTAATAAATCCAATAATGCTTGTCCCAGCCTCTATATCCTCATACTGAATAACTAGTCCAGTCACTATTTCAAGAAACACTTTGCATTTCAGTCATTCCATGTTGAAAAAACTTGTTCACTTTATGATTCTAATCACAAAATGCATAAAACCTGCATTAAGGGATTTACATGGAGTTCTATAAAGAACGTCAAATCTCATTTTTAGAAATTTTTTTAACGGTGACAGATTTAAGTTATTAGCACTCATCGTCAGATTTATCTCAAGTTCAGAAAATGTTTTCTGAGAGTAAGTAAAGTAAACATTTTATGTTAGCAAATATTTTTGCCTTTGAGGCTACCTGGTTTCTTTCCAACTACTCAATTCTGCTCAATACTGACCCTGTACCAATAAAATTTTGTTTATAAAACCAAGATTTTCCATATCTGGAAGATACTGATGACATAACAATGTTAGTATATTTAACTCCACTCATCTGTATGCTAAAAAAATAGTTCAAGTGGGACCAGATCAATAGTACACTGGTAGGGCACTTGCCTTGCACGAAGCTGAAACAGGTTTGATCCCCAGCATCCACCTGAGCCAGCCAGAAGTGATCCCTGAGTACAGAGAAAAGCCCTGAGTATTGCCAGGTTGGCCTAAAAGCAAACCAAAAAAAAAAAAAAGTTAAAGTGGTAAATTTGTCATATATTGTTGCCATCTTTAAAAAGAAAAACAAGTATTTTGCTTACAAGTGTTTTTCCCCAGCCACTAAGCTACAAAATTCTTTCTGCCTAAAGTACCCTGTGACTGATGATTTCCCTAAAAATAAAAAGCTTCAAAGACATAAATACTTAAAAAGGCATAAGCACTTAAAAAGATTAAATTGTTCTACAAAACCTTGCTTTAATATTCTGGAACACTTAAGACTGCTTTTTATTCTAGCGAGCAAACTAAAATGGTGTTGGCATTTTGCCCCCATGCACTAACCTGGAATCTAAGTTTTTAGAGGTACGCGAGTACATGCCAGGAAACACTGACTGCTGGAGTTGGAGGTAGGGTGGGGTGTTTGGCCACAAAGTTGACTTTCACAAGGCAACAAGGTATCTTCTTTTCAGCATATAAATTAGAGCCAGGTAGAGAGCTCAGATCCACAGTTTAATCCCTGGGACTGCAAAGCCAGCAGCACTAACCAGCACCACTGGGTGTGGCTCTGGGGGACCTCGACACCTCTGGGTCTCAGCTGCTTTGCATCAACAGGCTGAGCATAGAACCATCTACCTATTTGGCCACGGAATACTAGAAGTGGCACCAGGCCTCTTGAAAATTGCTTTGGAGCAGTCCCACCCCAAGAAAAACTTATAAATGAAAATAAAATAAAGTAGATGTTATCTAATTATTATCAAAGATCTGACTTTGCAATGCATTATTTGCATGTTTTAAATATCCATGGTGCCATATAATGCTTAATCCAATTTAATTCTGATTGTTTTTATTCAAAATCTGCACTAATAGTCCTTGGTGTTAAAATTTCCTTCTTTGGATAAAATATATGATTATTGGGGCTGGAACAATAGCACAGTGGGTAGGGCTTTTGCCTTGCACGCAGCCGTCCTGGGTTTGACTCCCAGCATCCCATATGGTCCCTCAAGCATCGCCAGGAGTAATTCCTAAGTGCAAAGCCAGGAGTAATACTTGTGCACCACTAGGTATGACCCAAAAAGCAAAAAAAAAAAAAAAGTTAAAAAAGTATATATGATCATTTTTAATAAAATATATTATACTTATATTTCCCTGACTTTAGACTTTAGATCTGCCTATACATTCAGTGCTAAAATAAATCCTCTTCCACAAGTTAAACCTTGCAGGTTTTCTCTGTTTTGTTTTGTTTTTCAGTTTTAATTGGAACCATGAGAAGAAGCCAACTAGATTCTTTCTCAGTATAGTCAGGGCCAGCTTCTGCACTGCCATACCATGATTAATTTATTATTCATCTGGTACCTTCCTATTAAACTTTGTCTTGAGCCTGTGAACTTCTCTTTCAGCTTCCAACAAAGGATTTCATTGCTTTAGGAATTGAGGTGTGTCTAAGTTTTTACCTGGGAGCAAAAGTGATGCAAGCATTTCTGGTGAAACCAATGCTTGGTTTAGGGAGGGGAGGAACCACATAACAGGCCATCTGCAGCTCCTGAAGCTGCTTTCTGAGACACCGCATGCACAGAGGAGGAAGCACCGGAGTAGCAGCACCCTTGGATTTTGTCACCGGAAAATTCAGAAGCAATGGCTTGGCCCCTTTTTAGAACCACGGGAGCTTTGACTATATTATTGGTAAGTCCTTTTTTTCCCCTAACAATTGTAATATTTCTGTTTCCTTTCTTGTTTGAGAATATACTTGAATCCGGAATCCTATCTTCTACACCAAAAAGAATTCAGTGTAAATAATTTTAAATGAGACTGTAAAGAGAACCTATTTTTTTCTTTGCTGTTTTATGAATGTTGTATTTTGCATTAAAAAAATTAATTTGAAAGTAAGAATTTAGCATTTAATTAATAGATTAATTAACCCTGATCTCAGTCTCTTTTTCCACAACTTCACTTCAAAGTAGTGCCTTTATTTTTCTTTCTAATACTAAAACTAAAGCACATAAAAGAAAACTAGGCCTATTTTCAGGGTTTACATATCTCTTAAGCATATGGCTACAAACTATACATGCCCAGTCTTGATACCCGACATGTTTTGTTAAATAGGCAGTTGAATTAAAATCAAAGCAATGTTTGACTCTGTGGGCATTGTGGGGTTGTTAAGAAAATAATTTATGTTCAATCTTTATATGAAAAACATAGCCAACTGCTTGGGGATAAAAAAAAGTTAAGATATTTTCTAAGTCCTTTTCTCAGGAGAGTAATACTTTTGATAATTAGGAATGTTTTATAAGTTATCTGAAAGAGAAACAGCATCCGGAAAACAAAGTGCTAATCTGAATGTTACAAACTGGTTTCTCCCTTAACTATGCTCTTTCGGTGAAGAATAACAACAAACATATATTAAAAGATATCAAAACAAATATTTTAAAGACTCCTAATTCCACACTCTATCAATATTAAGCGACAGTGGTCTTAGCATACATTTAACTAACTTTCTCATGAAAAAAAAATAGACTTCAGGAAGTTTCAAGAAGAACTTCCAGAAACTTAAAGGTGCCCAAATTTAGAATACAGCTGCCTGGTAAACCAGAGTTTCCCAGACTTCCCTCTGATGACACTGCTCCAGTAGAATACCAGGCCATTCTTTTTTTTTTTTTGACCCTGTTCCTATCCTGAAAAGAAAACTCATCATTTTGGATATCTAATGAACATATCTGTGGTAATAATCAACATCAGAGGAAATTGTGACAATTGTTTCACACTCCCAACTTTCCAAATGGTAGTTTCGGTACAAAAATGTTGTTTCAGCACTCAATCTGTTCAGTCATGTCAGTGACTAACTCAGGAAGTAGGGGATGTGTAGCAGGAAGTATCAGAAGAGAGCATAGCTATGAGTCCAAGCACTAGACTCCCACAAGTCTAACAGAAGTCTTTTTCACAGCTCTGACATAGAGAACACGCTCCATTACCTTTCTGGTTATACAGTGTCTACAGGAACATTATACTGAGAGCTATCTATTCATCTTTGCTTCTCCAATTCCTATCATAATCTTTTTCTTACAGAGGATTCACAATCATTTAAAGACTGGATAAAAACAATGTTTGAATGAGATCTCTCTATACAATAATCATCTATGTTCACAGTGATGCCTTAATGCTAGTCATGAGGAAACTATAAAATAGAAAAGTTTCCTCCCCTCAGGAAAATTTCACACAAACGTATTTATACACATATAAACTACTTAAAAACAATGTAATTTCATTCATAATAGTTAAACCGAGTGCTCTCAAGTTTCTCAGTCCAATGGAGTAGCCACATATGGTTATTAACCACCAGAAATGTAGTTGGTCTGAATGAAATATTGTTAAGTATAAGACATACATAGCATTTTGAAAACTGTATTAAAAATGCATATAAGACTATTAAATGTTATTAATAAGTTCATGGTAATTTTATATTGAAATAATATTTTGGACATATTCTACTAAAACATGGCTAAAATTAATTTTGCCTCATTTAATATTACTACCATTCAAAAGTTTAAAATTATGTGGCTCACATTTGTGCTCCTCAGATATCTGTTGGACAGTGCTGGTTACAATGAATGCATGAAGGTCCATATCAGTGAGTAGTGAGGCTCCTGCACTGGGTGAGATTTGAGCTGCTTTCCTGAAAAATATAGGTGGACCACAGGGCAATAGCTTCAGTTGTCAGACTAGCACAAGCAAAGGCAAGTGCAATTATGGCATTTGTCCAGGGTCAATAGACACCCTAGTTCGGCTGGAATTGTGGAAGAGAGCCAGGACAAGTGCTGGAAAGGCAGAAGAGGGCAGAGTAAAAGGTGGATTCTATGAAGGCAAATGGAATCCTTCTAAAAGTAGGTAGTCACTCTGTTTCGAAATAGTGTGGTGAAGAGGGGGAGGGAGTGGAAGCAACTGTTGAGCAGGAATGAACTTTTGTTGTTGAAGGGTGAGTTTGAAAGTTGAAGATGTGTTTGGAGATTCGTAATTAATTCCACCATCCTACGACCATACTAAGATCGTCAAGAGTGTTGAGATAAAGTCATAGCTTCAGTCTATGACTGTACTATGATCTTATTTGGGCCTTGTTTTCTCGACTGTCAAATAAGAATCATCATCGACCCCTTACCTAGTTAATGAGACTAAAGCAGCAATGACCCAACCTAGTGTGCAAAAAAAAAGTTTCCAAAAAAATGTAAACTTCTTTGTGAGACTAATTGTTTTCATTTGTAATGTGGAGCGATAGCACAGCGGGTAGGGCGTTCGCCTTACACGCGGCCAACATGGCCGACCCGAGTTCGATTCCTCCGCCCCTCTCGGAGAGCCCGGCAAGCTACCGAGAGTATCCGATATGCCAGACACAGTAACAACAAAGTCTCCAATGGAGACGTTACTGGGCCCGCTCGAGCAAATCGACGATCAATGGGAGGGCCTTTACCTTTACCTTTTATTAATAGAGATAAGTCGTAGTAATTTTCTGCCTACTATTTATATAACAGCCAACATTTTGATAAGCCTGGGAAGGACCTACATTTATCTTGAGCAAAAGAATACATCACAAAAACAAAAGATGGGTTTCTTTTTTTCTGAATACTGACAATAAAAAATATATATTTTGAATGAACATTGAGCTTTCCTCCCCGCCCTGGCCACACCTGAAGGTGATTGGAGTCGAGCATCCTCCACCCAGATCCTCCAAATTCCAGTAGGCGGGGGTCACACCCACCAACTGGCCCCCTGGCACCGTGTAATCCCATCAGCGGCCAAGACTCTGAGACTATAAAAACCAGCTCCCGGAGGAGAAGAGTGCAGTCTCCTGCCCCCGTGCCTGGCTATTCCTCACCGGGGCCCTTGGAGGGGAGCGGGTTGAGCTTTCCTCCCCACCCTGGCCAGGGCCCCAGCAGCCAAAGACCTCCAGGACCAGCCACCACCATGCTGATTATATCTTATTATATATATATGACATCTTATTATAACATCTCATTCCTACTTTGACAAACTGGCAGGATACCGAATGTAGCCTGCCCACACGGCAGAGTCTGGCAAACTCCCCGTGGCATACCCAATATGCCAAATACCAGTAACAATGATGGGTCTCATTCTCCTAAAGAGCCTTGAATATAATCTCAGGGCTAGGATGAAGGAGACGTTACTGGGGCCTGCTCGAGGCAATCGACGAATAACAGGATGATCTGTGATCTGTGATCTGATCTGAATGAACATATTAATGAGTACGGAAAATGTTATCTTTTCAAACTTGGAGTTTTACTCAAAGATTTTAATCTTCAGTCATTTATATTGCATACATGGGAGGAAGGAATACCTCCTTATTATTAAAGCAAATGTAATACCAGTTTCATGAACTCATTGATTCACCTCACACCACACAAAGTAAATACTTTGGGAATTTGTGGTTCAAAAGTGCTTTTCTTCAGATATTTGATCATTTGAAAGCAATGCTTATCTTTTAGTGAGACTAATGTTCAGTATTTGGTAGTTCACAAAATCTTACATACTATTTTTCTTATAAAAAACACCTTGTTAGTGTCTGGGAAATAGCTCTTTATTTTCATGTTACTACATTAGTGAGTAAAAATTACTCACTAAAAAATATTAATAAAGATGTATCGAATCAAAATATTTTAAACACAATGCCCTCTAGTGAGTAGTGGTAGTGCTGGAGGGAAAAAAAATAGAGTAATTTTAAATATCAAGTTCTAATTAGAATATGTTCTAAGTATAGCATATTTTCAACTACAGAACAACCAAAATATAAGCTTGGGAAATTAATTAGAGGTTAAATGACCCAAATTTTCACCATTTTACTGTATCACTGTCATCCTGCTGTTCATCGATTTACTCGAGCAAGCGCCAGTAACATCTCCATTCATCCCAGCCCTGAGATTTAAACAGCCTCTCCTTATTCGTCTTTCCCAACACTGCCATATGAGAGGTACTTTCAGGGTCAGGGAAATGAGACCCGTTATTGTTACTGTTTTTGGCATATTGAATATGCCATGGGTAGCTTGCCAGGCTCTGCCATATGGGCTGGATACTCTTGGTAGTTTGCTGGGCTCTCTGAAAGGCATATATATCGATATAGATATAGATATAGATATATTTCCCTCTATGAGTTGCTGCCTACTGTCTGAACCCCATCAAATATGGTATGATAATTATGAAAAATGGGTAGGGAGTGTCTTATGATATGTCCAGGAATATGTTCACTCATATGTGAGGCTCGGCCCCAGCATGTGGAAAGCGGCCTGGAGCGTGGGGGTGGTTGGATAGTGGAGGTTGACTGCTGGGGCTGGGTCCCTTGATGCGGGGAGGGTCCAAATTTTAAACAGAAAAAATATTTAATGTATCATGTCTCTTGATTGTTGAAACAACCTAGTTTCCAGTTCTAATAAATATATGAAAATAAATTGCATCTTGAATCTTTCCAAAAGATTCTAAAGTCAGGAGATTCTTGCCAGTGATTCTCACCAGTCCTGCCTGACGGGCAGAAGTCGGGAAAGATGTAATTACTTCTACCAATTACCACTCCCACTTACTTAATACCTGAAACCAGTTTTCATTTGGAGCTAGAACACTCCATGCCCATGTTATTTCTCATAAATCTCGTGGCCTTTGGCACTTCCTTTCCAGTAAAGAGTCAATCTGATAGCCTAAGGTGAGTGATGGCTTGTTTTGGGAAATTCATCACAAGAATATTGCATGGACAACTGGTTACTATCCATAATTAGACTATGAATAACTGTATCTGTCTAATATGCACATCTTTCTGATAGGGCCACCGAGCAGACAGCCAAGCTATGTACTGTATAACTCCAGGAGATTCCATCACATAAACTATATTGTGAGTGGTGCCTTCCAGAGTTGTACAAGATAGAGTCTACATACTTGTACATGGGAGCACAGGATCCTGCTTTTTCTTGTGTTCAAGTGTGAAAGTCATATATGTTTTAACATGATTAGTAAGAGGTCACTTTGTATAAAACTAGTTATTTCATAGTTTTTTACTTAAGTTTGCAATAAAAGTGATTACCACTTATTAAAGGCTTACTTTTGGCTAAAGGTCATATATGTGCTTTGCATCTATTAATTTCTTTAATCCTATTAAATCCCTAAAACCTAAGTAGATATGTTATCTCTACTTTATGGATTTTAAACACTGGAAAAAAATGTTTTGATCTTTTTAGCCAAACCCAGCTGTGCTCAGGGCTTAGTCCTGGCTCCATATTCAGGGATCACTCCTGTCAGTGCTCAGAACACCTTGTGAGATGAATGCCAGGGATTGAACTCAGGTCAGCTGGGTGAAAGGCAAACACACTGAAAGCTGGGTGAAGGGCAAACACTCTTTTATCAAACTAGGTAAAATCGTAGTTGTTACTACATGTGGTTTTTCCACACCCATATTCTCAAACTGTACTGTGTATCTACCATATTAAATGTAAATCTTAAGGGTATAATTACATACATCTTAATTAGCAAGTGGAATGTGCATATTTAAACATTTGACTCATTTATTTAATTTATTGGTACACTTGAGTTTCATTAAAAAATCCAAATAATGTCACATCGGTTCTTTAAAAAAAAATCACATAGTCAAGGCTGGAAAGTAGCACAGCAGGTAGGTTATTTGACTTGAATGCAGTCATACAGGGTTCAATCTCAGCACTGCATATGGTTCCCTAAACATCATCAGAAGTCCTAAGCACTGACATAGGAGTATCACTGAGCACTTCTGAGTATCACCCCCCAAACAAATTGTAATAATAATATAATGAGGGAACAGAGAAATAGTATAATGGGTAAGCTGCTTGCCTTGCATGCAATCAAACCCAGTTGTATGCTGGCACCACCTTCATACCCCAAGAACCACTAGGAGTATAAAACCTGAGTATAAAACCAGGAATAAGACCTGATCACCATCAGTATGAAAAAAACTCTCTCTCTCACACACACAATATATATACATATATATGTATGTATATATATGAAGTCAAAATTATCAAAATAACCAGGTAATAAAAGTATAGAAATTCTCAAAATAAATAATGCTTTCTACACATTGTTGATTCCAATTGAGTCACACTCAAAGAGAGTACTTAACTTATTTATATTTTCTGGAAATTATTTAAATATTTATTAGATATTCAAATTAATTATATCAGCAATTAAAAACAATTAAGTAGTCAGATACAAGTATTAATTGACTAAAAAAAATTAGTCTAAATAACATAAGACTGTGGTTATATTTGGTGGGGCTGGGAGTTAAGGCCATATGCAGCCATGCTCACTCCTGGCAGTGGCACCATACACGGTGCCAGGGATCGAAAATTGTCGACTACATGCAAAGTAATCATCTTGAGCACCTGAACTTAAACTCCTGCACCTATGGTTCTGGCTCAAAAAATCTTAAAAATACTGTAATATTCAGAAATATTTGTAATTACCCCATATTTCAAGAAGCACAGAAATCATCACATTTCAAAATTCATAAAAGAACTTAAGGAACAGTCTTACTGGTCTGACTTTAAAAGAGAGAATGGAAAAGGGTAAAGGTCTCGACAGGATAACTTCCCAATAGTGCTATTTCTATGAAAAGATTGAAAAAGCAACAAACAATTGTCTGAAGTGTTCCTTCTCCATAATGTAGTGATGTCTAGCAGAAGAATCATCCTCTCTGGGGCTAGTACAAGCATGATTCATTTTTCCTGGATGACTCCAGTTTTCCTGTAAAGGGGCATGCCTGGCTCATCCCTCCCTTACCTGTGACTGAATTGTTCTCATGAACTAAGAAAGGAGTAGTACAATTACTCTGGGCTTTTCTCCTTCTCTTACTGCTTAATAAAGAGTAGCAAATGAATAAAAATATTTTAAGGCCTGTTATAATGATAAATGGATTATTTTTCATGGACAAATTTAAACATTTGAAATAAAGTTTTTATTAAAATTTAGAATGGGTGGGTTCTCGCATCCTAGGCCTATTATCTTTACTCCTTTGGTTCAAATATAGACCAATCTCTATATTACTACACTTCAAATAAACAGTGCAATTCTTTTCCTTATTTTAGGAGCGTCCTCAGTCTTTGGCTGGATAAACCTCTAAACTGATGTCTATATAATTTTATTTCCCACCACTAGTTTTTGTTTCCTACTTATTCATGCCAAATTTTGTTAGACTAGAATAGATGTGATGTACACACTTTGGAATCATGTTGCTAAGGCTCAAACCTTGGATATACTAGATCTGTATAATGGACAAAGCACTTGGACTCCCATTGCTCCAATTATTTTACTCCATTCTCTCTACTCTTGTACAATAACTTTTTAAAAATGACTTACCTTAAATTTTTTTAAAAAAATGCAAAGCACAAACAAGAATTTTAAATGTCTTTTCCTATAATTGAAGTTAACTAACGTAAAACTGTGTTTGAACAAATTATGTAAGGGATGCCAATTTATAATCATCTATATTTACATTTTCTGAGGTTGATCACAGTTCTACCCACCTTTGTTTCTCAAAGCAACAGAATTTGTAGCTAATAGGATGTGTTTATAGAAGAGCAAGGTAATGAAGGTCTATATGGCACAATGGCTATCACTCAGAGTTTTGCAAAGTCCGATAAATTCTTCATTAATGTTCTGTAGTAATATTAAAAAATCAAAAGAACTTATTTATACTGAGAACATTGGACTTCTCTTAACTTGACTTGAGAACAATGACTTCTCTAAATTTTTTTTAAAATTAGAAAAGCTGTAATAATAACAACAGAAAAAATAAGGATCTGTTTATGAAATTATTTGAAGAATTCATGTTTAATTTGGCTTTGTTTAAATGTCTACAGGTTGTCATAGTGGTTCATGGAGAACTGAAAATAGAGGTAAAGTATGAAAAAGTTTTTGTTATTGAAATAGTCTAACTTAAAATTAATATTATTAAAATAAATGTCTAATTTTAAAATATGGAAACTATAATCACGAATAGTTAAATTCTAACAATTAACCCAGTAATCTTTACATGTCAGCAATGTATGTGTCATTAATGTAATTTAGCTCATACATTCTTTTTTCCCATATTAAGAATATGTTTTTATTAAAATGGTTCTATGTGCTGAGAAAATTATATATGATTGAATATGTAAAAGAAATATAAAATAACTGAGCACTGATAATATTTTAAAAATTAACTTTAGAATAATTTGTGATTCATTGTTTCATTTTTACTTAGCAAAATATAAGAACATATTGTAGAACCAAGTACATAGATAACAGTATTAAATACCTTGAAACAGAAAGTTCTTCAACCTAAGCATCCATAATCAACACTCAAAACAAACATTTCCACTAATTGTGGTTACTAAAATGAAATTCCCTTTTATGTAAGATAAATGGACAACATGAGGAAGATGAGACTGTTGTACACCAAGCCAAAAGAAGATACAAACGTGAATGGGTGAAATTTGCAAAACCCTGCAGAGAAAGAGAAGACAACTCCAAAAGAAACCCAATCGCAAAAGTAAGTCAGTATTGTGAGTTTTTAAAATAAGTGGAATAGGGGCTGGAGCAATAGCACAGTGGGTAGGGCGTTTGTTGCACAGCGGGTAGGGCGTTTGCCTTGCACGCAGCAGATCCGGGTTCAATTCCCAGCATCCCATATGGTCCCCCGAGCACCGCCAGGAGTGATTCCTGAGTGCAAAGCCAGGAATAACCCCTGAACATCGCCGGGTGGGACCACAAAAGAAAAAATAAATAAATAAATAAATAAATGGATTAAATAAGTATAAAATTACAAGTTAATTCCAAATAACAAAATACAAACTGGGAGGTCAACAGAACAAATAACTTAGTAACTTCAACAAAAATATACATATGATAATAACAATAAAAAAAGAGCAAGATGGGAGACTAACACCCAGGAGTGACTGAGATTAGTACCAGGAATCTTGCTCCATGACTTGGAGGCCAGCCACACATGCTAGGGGAAAAGGAAGCTCAGATAGAGAAGAGAGCACCAAATAAAGGGTGTTGTGAGGATCCTCCCAGGGTGGGAGAAGCATGCTGAAAGTAGACTATAGACCAAACATGACTGCCACTCAATACCTCTCTTGCAAAACACAGGACCCAAAAGAAGAGAGAGAGAACAAGGGGGAATGCCCTGCCACAGAGGCAGGGTGGGATGGGGAAGATGGGGGGTGGGAGGGATGCTGGGACCCGTGGTGGTGGAGGATGGGTGCTGGTAGAGGGATGGGTACTTGATCATTGTATAACTGAAACCCAAGCACAAAAATTTGTAAGTCTATAATTGTACCTCATGGTGTTTCACTAATAAAAAAAAAAAGAGCAAGATTGAGAAAGTATGGCTTCTAGAAAAATAAAAAAGAGTATGGAACAATTTTAGTGTTGTAAATCTTATTTATGTGCATAGCTTTGCAAACTAAGCAAACTTAGCAAACTAATATTAGAAAGATTATTTGTAGTAAACATTAAATTGGCCAGGTTTTACATTAAAACTGAGTGATGAATTATATCAAGTGATGAACTGAATCAGGTTCATTTTGTTGTTTTTACATATTTTAATGCTTTATGTTATACAGAATAAATTATAATAGAAAATAAATCATGTCAATATACAGCTTAACTCAGCTTGACTACAAAATCCCTATCCTTTATCTGTAGTGCTACCTATTAAACTGTAATTAATGTTTTTTCGTAAACCATCTGTTAAAAATGACCATTCAAAAGTAACTTTTTCGATATTAAGTGTACTGGACTCTTACCTGTTTTATATCATCATAATGGTCACAGACAAGTATTGTACAGACAAATGATTAAAGTATATGGTTCGACAAATGAATGGTTAAAGACACTTTGATACATATACACAATGGAGTACTATGTAGCTGTTAGAAAAGATGAAGTCATGAAATTTACATAAAGTGGTACTACATGGAAAGTATCATGCTAAGCGAAATGAGCCAGAATGAGAGGGATAGACATAGAAAGATTGCATTTATCTGGGGAATATAAAATAACAAAATAGGAGACTAACACCCAAGAATAGCTGAGAAAAGTACCAGGAGGTTGACTCCATGGCTTGGAGGCCAGCTGCACACGCTAGAGGAAAAGGCAGCTCAGATAGAGAAGAGAGCACCAAATAAAGGTGTTGGGAGGATCCTCCCAGGATGGGAGATGCATGCTGAAAGTGGACTATAGACCAAACATAATTGCCACTCAATGCAAACCACAGCACCTAAAAGAAGAGAGAGAACAAAGGGGAATGCCCTGCCACAGAGGCAGGGTGGAATGGGGGGGATGAGGAGTGGGAGGGATACTGGGATCAATGGTGGTGGAAAATGGGCACTGTTGGAGGGATGGGTACTCGATCATTGTATAATCGAAACCCAAGCACAAAAATTTGTAAGTCTACAACTGCACCTCATGGTGTTTCACTAATAAAAATTAAATATATATATACATATATATAGTAAAAACCAATTTCAATCAAAAAAAGTATATGGTTTGTGTCAACAGAAGCAACAGTATCTAGCATGAGCAAAGTACAGTATCAGAAAAGTGAATAAAGTGAGCAGATGATAAGATTATGAAGTAAGTGCAGAAAGGCCTGAATGATGACTACCTTAACATTCTGAATATTTGCCGGTCACAGATTTCTTCAGATATCCAAGCAACCCAGAAAGTTTTCTACCGAATTTCTGGAATGGGAATTGATCAACCCCCTCTGGGGATATTCATTGTTGACAAGAACACTGGAGAAATTAATATAACATCCATTGTTGACCGAGAAGAGACCCCAAGCTTCCAGGTAAGATTCCAACACTGGGCACACAAGTTTAGAAGGGATACTCTCCTGATTAAAAGAAGGATCATCTCATGCACCAATCCACTAACAATTAATACCTCAACCAAAAACCTCCACTTATGGTTGTGTCCCTAAAGGAACACACCAAGAGGATGCATGAGTGAACACTGCAGTTCACCATTCAGTTTGTTCAAGCTTTGCCTGGCTCTGAAATACCAGCAGCCAGGAAGGGGCAACCTGCTCAACTGGTCTGCACAGGGTGGGATTTTCTTCTTTCTCTATTTACATTATTTTTCTTCCTTGCACAAAAGTTCTATACTTGCCAACAAATGCTCTGTTTCTACAAGTTTCAAAGTATGCAAACGTAAAATGCAAATGGATTTTCCTTCATTTTCCAGATCACATGTCATGCTGAAAATCTCCAAGGGCAAGCTGTAGAAAGACCACTTATACTAACAGTCAAAATTTTAGATGTCAATGACAATCCTCCAGTATTTTCCCAAAGAGTATTCATGGGTGAAGTTGAAGAAAACAGTGCCACAAGTAAGTCTTTTTCTACCACTTTTAATTTTTTTTTAAATACAAATATCACAATAGTACATCTTTTATTGTTGTTTTTGTTTGTTTGTTTTGTTTGGGGGCCACACCTGGCAGGGCTCAGGGCTTACTCCTGGCTCTGCACTCAGGAATTACTCCTGGTAATGCTCAGTGCCCTAACCACCGTACTATCTCTCCTGCCCTAGCACATCATTTTTAAAGACTAATTTATTTAGTCTTATCAGTGGATTTGCATTTAAAAAATCATTAACCTGGATCTTCCTTTCTAATAATAGTTAAGCTAGTTATCACAGCCATTTTGTATTTAGTTTGTGGTCCTTACTAGCAAATCAGTTTGTCTTTTTCTACACATACAACTCACCAGAATATTCAGCAGTAACAAAATTAAAGAGGTGATTTCAGATTTCAGATAGCCTGAATGCATTTGCTAGGCATTTTATATTATATGGAACAGAAACACATTCCCATTACTTAGATAATCTAGTTGTAAAGGGAAAAGTATGAAACTATTCATCTTTATGGAAAGAAAAACAAAAAATAATCTCAATCTCAATATGATCAAGATTTAAGGAGAACCAGGGGCCAGAGCAATAGCACAATGGTTGACGTTTGCCTTAGACACAACTGACCAGGGTTCAGTCCCCACATCTGTGCACTGTCATGAGTAATTCCTGAGTGCAGAGCTATGAGTATGCCCTGAGCATCACCAGGTTGCAAAAAAAAAAAAAAACTGAACACCAAAAACCAAGATTTTGAAAGAACCAAAGAACTTTATAGAAGGCAACATGATTCTACCTGATTGAGAGAGACAATAGGAGAAATTTCTAGTGACTTGATTTTTTTTTTATAATTTATTTATTTATTGAATCACTGTGGGAAAAGTTACAGAGCTTTTGGGTTTAGGTCTCAGTCATGTAGATACCAAATACATTTCCCTTTACCAATACTCATTTTTAACCCCGAACCCCAATAGACCCCCACCTCCCACCCCTCCCAATTCTTGTGAGGCAGATGAGTTCTAGTTAATACTCTATCTACTTTGACTAGATAGATTATTTCGATAGAAGATGCACAATTATTGTTTAGAGTTTACGATCCACCCCCCACAATCAGACATGCTGAAACAGCGTTGTGAAATGATTTGCTTTCTACAACTTGGTTTAAGAATAAAATGATGTCGCGCGGCCGCTATCGCGGCCGCGCGGTTATTTTACTTATTGACCCTGGAAGAATTTCTATTAAAAGTTAGCTAGTTAAGAGATTGGTTTCTGTGCCCTGGAGTCGTGGCCGTGCCGGAGAGCCGCTCGTGGGGGGCAGCTGGCGACCTCGGTGGGGCGTGGGGGACGGCCCACAAAGCCCCCCTTCCCATGAGGTCCTGCTTTCCACAAGGCTCCCTGCGGCCGCCATCTTTCTTTCCAGAGAGGAGCGGGCGAGCCGGTCAACGCCCTTTCCCCTCCGGGCTGGCTTGGTGGCGCGGTTTAACACAAGTCCATTTGCTTTTCTTTCTTTTCTTTCTTTTCTTTTCTTTCTTTCCAGAGAGGAGCCGTGACTTGATTTTTTTAAACATGTTTTTTTTGGGGTTTTTTGTTTTGTTTTTTTTTTTTTGTGGGTTTTTTTTTTTTTTTTTTTTTTTTTTTTAGTTTTTGGGCCAAACTTGGTGCTTGGTGGTGCTCAGGGCTTATTCCTGGCTCTGTGCTCAGGAACCACCCCTGCCAGATCAGGGAATCGTATTGCATGCTGGGAATCAACCCACACTGGCCATGGGCAAGGCAAAGACAAATGCCCTACTCACTGTAATATCACTACAGCCCCAAAACAAAGATAGTTTTAAAAGCACTAGTTAGCACTGTCTTCCCATTGTTCATTGATTTGCTCCAGCGAGCCCAGTAACATCTCCATTTGTGAGACTTGTTGTTACTGTGTTTGGCATATCAAATACATCATGGGGAGCTTGCCAGGCTTTGCCTTGCCTGCGAGATACTCTCAGTAGCTTGCCCGGCTCTCTGAGAGGGGCGGAGGAATCAAACCCGGCTCGGCCGGGTCAGCCGTGCCAAGGCAAACACCTTACCGCTGTGCTATCGCTCCTATCAGAAATTGTGCTACTTGTGAACATATTAATCTTTACCTAGTCTTTAATTAACTTCTCCCATATTCCTAGACACACTGGTGATGATCCTAAATGCCACAGATGCTGATGAACCAAACCATTTGAATTCTAAAATTGCCTTCAAAATCGTCTCTCAGGAGCCTTCAGCCACACCCATGTTCCTCATAAGCAGACACACTGGAGAAGTCCATACTTTGACCAGTTCTCTTGATAGAGAGGTAAAGCAAGCCATTTGGGAACATTAAATAATAAAGGATTTAATTGTAAGAAGCTATGAGCTAGCTCTGCTTTTGCATAAGAGTGAAAGAGAAAGAAAATGAAGTTCCCAATACTCAATGTGGACAAAGAAAACTTTGCATTCTAGTGTGATAGATGAGGTCTTGAATTCTAAATCGGTTAGCATTAAGTCTTGAGTTCTGGTCTTAATTCTGAGGCTGGTAGGAATATGTACCAGACACATGCACTATCACTTATATCTTGAAAAAGCAAGCATCAGCAACAGAAATGGAAATTAAAATGAGAGAATAATAGAAAGCATTTGCATAAAAGAAAGCAGTGCCATGGACAGAGTAAATGATGACTGATTCTTCAAACAATGGAGAAAAGGAAATTTTTTATCTGGAATATAGCCTATTCTGATGTTACAAATTTTCCTCACCTCACAGCGTATTTAACTTTATACTGCTTCTGTGATACACAAGAATCCCCTTCCTATCTCTTTTGCATCGTCAACACAAATAGCATCGTCAAACCCCAAAATCATGACATATGCTATGTGTGACTCCCTAATATTTATATACAAATGATTTCCCAAATGGACAGACAAGTGACGTTCATAAGTGAGTCTTCATGAGATAACCACTGCATCAGACTCTTCAAGTGATTTTGCTTTAAATACACTTTCTGGACATTAAAATCTTATTTAAAAAGCAAAACTTTTCTAGTCTGTTAAATACTTCTAGCTGTCCACACCCTACACAACCTCTTCTTGCAAGACAAAGGTGTATATTATCCTTCCAAAGCATGAACCAGAACTTGAATGTTTTCACCCTTTTCCTGTATGAAGGAAGCAGCTGTTATTCATATTCTTGTCACTAAAGATTAACTATCTTCTTGGTTTCTCCAAATTTAGCAAATTAGCAGCTTTCATCTGGTTGTGAGTGGTGCTGATAGAGATGGTGAGGGGCTATCAAGTCAATGTGAATGCAACATTAAAGTGAAAGACGTCAATGATAATTTCCCAGTGTTCAAAGAATCACAGGTAATTTCTTTTACTCTTTGAGAAAAACTACATTTTTAAGTTATATATTGCCATTTTATCAGATAAGTTTTTGTTTTTGTTTTTAATTTTCTTATTTACAGCGGGTAGGGCGTTCGCCTTACAAGCGGCCAACATGGCCGACCCGAGTTCGATTCCTCCGCCCCTCTCGGAGAGCCTGGCAAGCTACCGAGAGTATTCGATATGCCAGACACAGTAACAACAAAGTCTCCAATGGAGACGTTACTGGGCCCGCTCGAGCAAATCGACGATCAACGGGAGGGCCTTTACCTTTACCTTATCATGAGATACATTTACAGACTTACAGACTTTCATGATTGCATTTAAGTCAAATAATGTTCAAGTACCCATCCATCCTTCAGTGCCCATTCTCCACCCTCAATGTTCCCAGTATCCCTCCCCCCCACCCCCACCCCTTCCCACCTCCTGCCTCTGTGGCAGGCACAATCTCTCTTACTCTCTCTGTCTTTTTGGATGCTATGGTTTGCAATACAGGTAGAAAGCAGCCATCATGCTTGGTCCATAGTCTACATTCAACATGCATCTACTATCCTGAGCTATCCCTCCAACCATCATTTATTTAGTTACCTTGCCATTTTAAGTTAGCATTTGTTTTCAAGTTTCTATTTACCTTCCCTGAACATTTTTTTAAAAAATTTTCTAGAAAATATGATAATTTAATGGTCATCAAAGAGTCAATACATAATTTGAGAATAAATGTGAATATTATTCTGTGTCAATGTCATCTCTTTATATAAAATATGATGTTGTGCCTTAAGGTTTTTTTTTCTCAATACTGAATCATCTCACACATCTGTGGTATATTAAGAATCAAAACAAGGGAATAGTCTGTATAGAAAATTCACTAACTTGACCTTAGATTACAAAACTCAAATCATTAAGCTATGGGGAAAGAGAGAGGAGGACAGAAAAGAAAAACTAAAACTGATATAAGGATATTGATGGAAGATCCTGGGAATTTGGTCATTCAGTAACTTTGTATATCAAAACCATTAACATTAACACTATTACAAAAACTACCCCAAAGTCATGGTAACTTGATTTATTATTAATTTTTATTTATTATAATTTATTACAGTAATTTTATTTACTGATTACAGTAAATTTACTGATTACAGTAAATTAAATTCTATTTTTGTCCTTTTTAGTATTTTGCACGTATTGAGGAAAATACTTTAAGTTCTGAGTTACTTCGATTTCAAGTAACGGATTGGGATGAAGAATTCACAGATAATTGGCTTGCAGAATACTTTTTTACCTCTGGAAATGAAGGAAATTGGTTTGAGATTCAAACCGACCCTAGAACTAATGAGGGCATCCTGAGAGTGGTGAAGGTAAGGTTTGATTTTTCTATATTAACGGATCATTTCTACAAGTAAAATTTACTAAAAATACCACTTTATTCTAGAAAACACATAAAATGGGTGCTGCATATTTTTCAAAAGCATTAGTTTTATTTCCTAAAGACAACCTTTCTTGTTATTAGGACACAGGAGGGAGGGTAAGGATAGAACCCAGAGCTTCAAACCTGTACAGCATCACTCTACCACTAATCAAACTTCTTATCAGAACAACTTTTCTTAACATTTTGATATTTTCCTTCCAAGCTACCTTTAGTAAGAACCTGCACATTAATCGCATACACATGCTTAGAGGTGCTATTACTTTAAACACAAGAAAGAAAAACACATTTCTTAACTTATTTACTTTCTACAACTGAATGGAAGATAAAAGCATACAGAAATGTGGTGTTTGAATTTGCCATCTTGTTTTAAATGGATTAGCGACAATCCTTGAAGAAAAAACATTTAAACTTTTTTGACAACATGAGATGTATAAATTACATCTACAAAATGAAATATTGTGTATCTGAGCAAAGATTTACTGAGTAAATTATTTATTTAGGAGTAAAACCACTGAGTAAATTATTTATTCCTATTTTGCATGGTTACCTACAGCAGACACCCTACCATGACCACCATCTGAAATGACATAAGGAGATTCTGAATATTGCAAAGACCACACAAAATAACCATGATCGGGGGACATTCCTTCGCACAAAACATCAAACTATATATGAATGAGTTCTTTAATTTTCTGAGTATAGTGAGTGATAGATCCATACTATTCCCTGAATCAGGGAGATTATTGGTATGCTTAATAAACTCTGTAAGCAGCTCCTTATTGATTTTCAGAAAAAAATTTTAAAAGTCTTTGTTAAAATAAGAACTTTCTCATAAACTCCAACAATATTGGTATAAAAAATTCCCTTTCTCCTATATTGGTGCCATACAACTGCCCAAACTAGGAATCTGGATCTTATCCTTAAACCATGGTATTTACTCACAACATAGAGCCAGTAATCAAGGTCTGCCATAGAAATAGTCCTTATAATTTAGCTCTGCTCTTCCTTTTAACAAGCTATACTAAAGCTAAAACCTTGCCTGGTCTCCCTGAACCTAAAAGACGAGCCTGCATAACTCACCCAATACCACAGGGTGTGGCCCTGGAATAACAGAAGTCCCAACCTCTTATTTCTACTTTCCTTTGAGTCTCTACTCCAGCCCTCTGTCATGTTTTTCTTAAAACAATTTGAAACAGTTAATATCCTTTTCAACACGTTTACTTGCTCTTATTAAATCTTGTTTAAGTCAAGTCGCTGTGAATGTGGAAATTATTGGTACTGTGGGTAAGCCTAGGAAGCAATTCTTAAAGGTCCCTTAAGTGACTCTCAATATGCTTTGGGGGTTTATGACCACCTGCTGGCCTTAAAGAGGTCATTCATCCTCCTCAAAATATAGGGTCCAGTATGAAATAGTATGATATCTCATATATGTGCCTTGCATGCTGCCAAACCATGCACACACATACATGGTCCCTTGAGTGTGACCATGGATGATTTCTAAGCACAAGTGATTTCTGAGACAAATGATTTCTGAGCACAAAGAGTAAGCCCTGAGTACCGCTGTGCTTAAACCCCAAAACAAAACAAAACAAAATTTTATACAGTAAGTCCTCATTTAATATTATCAATAAGTATAAGAAATTGACTTGGAAATGACTAAGCAAAATGGCTAAGGAAATTAGGTCTTCAAATAGCCTCATTTTGTTCAAAGAGAGTCAGGAATTTTTATCATTTGAAAATGGCCTTAAGCAAAAGGAAGTTCTTTAAGGACCTACTGTACCAGACCATTTCCATCTGTAGTTAATCCACTCCTCATCACTTGCTATAACTCTGGGCATTGTCAAGTACTTTTCCCTCTGCCTCAGTAATTTCTTCTCATCTTTAAATATATCCTTCACATAAAACTTCTTGGAAGTCTTCCCTAACTCTCCCAAGTAGAAATAGCTATTGATTTCTGCATGTAGACCCTGTAAACTTTGTCATTAAACTCCTGCATTACAATTACCTACTCATGTCTTTCTCTTTCTCTCCTCTGAAAAATGCCCACAAAAAAGTCACTGCAAAGTTAAAAGTCAAATTCAGATTTCTTAATCTAATTGTTTTAATAGACATTTGTAATCAAAATGAGTATTTCCTTAGGTCACGATCCTCAAAAACTTTCCCAGAGAAGGGATAAAATATCCTGTGATTCCCCGGTGCTTTGGTCATCTCAATTAGAAGAAAAAAAATAATTACACATGGTCATCAGACAAGGCCATCTGAAATGGTTCCACGGGAGTTGGTGGATCAAATAAAAGTCTATTTTCCAAGAAAATTGACAAAATTTGCCTTTGCTTGTAGAAATTTTTAAAGCAGGAAAGATATTATCGTGCATGAATCCAATGACTGTTGTATAAATAACAGTAAGCTCCTTGATTATTCAGCCTTCACAGCAATTTAATGAGGAAAGATTTGGGTTTTTTTCCTGAAGTAGAAAATTGAGAATCAAGGAAAATGAATATTGTGTCTAAACAGCTATTAAAATATAGAACCAGGATTCAAACCCATGATCACAGCAAATGAAGGATTCTTTTCACAGTCCCCCTATGCCCAAACTATAATGCTTTTTTTTGCTAGACTGAAAATTTACTCTATTTATAAGCATACTTTGCCAAACAAACTGAAGTTTTACCAGCTAGTAATTCTAAGGTTTCTTTTAATGTTATAGTGTTTTTGAATCACTTTTACTATATGAGTAGAAAATGATCATACAGAACAAGAATATAGAATTTTCTAGTCCTCTTCTGGGTTTTTCTAGAACACATTTATGTGATACTTCTTTCTAATTTTAATTTTAATCTAGGCTCTAGATTATGAACAGCTACAAAAACTACAGCTCGGTATTGCAGTCAAAAACAAAGCTGAATTTCACCAATCAGTAATCTCTCAATATCGAGTCCACTCAACACCTGTCACAATTCAAATAATCAATGTAAAGGAAGGTATTAAATTTAATCCACCTTACAAGACATTTACAGTCCAGAAAGGTATAAGTAGTAAAAAACTGATGAATTATATCCTGGGAATGTATCAAGCCATTGATGAAGACACTGGCAAAGCTTCTTCATCTGTCAGGTGAGATCTTTTAAAATATTTTGCTATTCCTTGATATATGTTTTAACTATAGGACATTATATCACACCTAAACTATCATATGCTGATAAGACAAAGACAAAGTGGCCAAATCAAGGATAACTCAACATAGCTAAGTTGTAAAGAGCTAGGATAACATACCATAACATTATAAGGAACAAAGGTGATATTGCATAAGTAAAATTAGAAATTAAGAAAAAATGCCTTTTTAGCCTACTTAGAGATATAAGAAAAAAGTACATGGAAATTTTTACATGAACTCTTAAGAAAGTTTTCCACCAGAAAGCCATGGTACAATTGGATACAATGACTTATAAAAAGACATATATGCTTAAAATCTAAGAGCATATTGCAAGGTAGTTTCTTTGGCATAAAGAGTTAATTACTGCATAAATCAGGAAATGGAAAATCAGTGACATACATATTTGAAGATTATGAAATACTGCTTGTGTGTGAAATTTTTTAATCTTCTGCTACTTATAAAAGTATATGTCAATACATTAAATATATGTACGTTGAACATGAAGATTCGTTCTCATTAAATAACAGACCATATTTGAAAAATAGAATTATGTTTTTTCTATTGTAAAACAGATATGTCATGGGACGTAATGATGGTGGTTTGCTAACGATTGATTCAAAAACTGGTCAAATCAAATTTATCAAAAACATCGATCGAGATTCTACTTTCATAGTTAACAAGACAATCACAGCTGAGGTTCTAGCCATAGATGGTAAGAAATATATTTCAATCATTTTTAGAGAAGTGTAACAGCAGTTGACATTTCTTTATGAGCATGTAATTATAATTTTTCAACATATTATACATTATCTTAGGGACCCTGGGGAAAAGTCTGAAGCAACTTAAACCAGATGACTAAGGATTCCAACTTCTCGGCAGAGTTTAGAGTATGAATACATTCTATGTTCAGTCACTGGGATTTGTTATGATTAGCAAAGGGATATTTTAGACCTATAGAAATTTATGAATTTAAAAAGGCAGCTGAAATAGAAGGAGTTTTGTCAGTTAATTAAATAGACCACATGTACCACATAAAAATCTCTTCTGGAATTTCTTAACTAATATTTATTGAGCATATGAGTTTCCCAAGTATAAAATTAATTTATGTTGAAGCCTATTAAAAAAGCAAAAACAAAGAAATAAACGCCAAATAAATCTTATAACCTTTTTTGAAAGGAAACACCACTAAAGGAAACAACAGAAATGACTCATTATCTCATAACAGAGGAATTTGTATTTTGTTTTTGAGTGCCAAGATTAGTTTTCTTCTTTAATAAACTTTTATATTCAGGTAATAAAAATTTTCACAGCTCATTCCCAACACTTTGGCTCAAGGTTTATATGCATAAAAAAAAAGTTCTTACAAAAAATTTCTGCACTATAGGTTCAAAATTATTTAAGACAAGTGTACAATTTAAGACAACTATTTTTATGTCAATTTCATTTGTAACCAGTAAATGTGTCATTTTAGAAGGTCTTGGTTCCAAGAAGATCAAATTAATAGCCAGTGAGTGCCTCTTCAGAAACACCAGATTAGCTAATAATATTTAAATTTCTTTCTAACAAGTTGTGAAATCAAATGAATCATTTTGCTTGTAAGAAAAAAAATACGGGGCCAGAGAGATGGCTCAAAGCTCAAAGCTGGAACTCCTACCTTGCTTTCAGGAGACCTAGGGTCAAACAGCAGCCCCACCAGATCCCCTGAGCACCCTTAGGGTGACCTCCATGCCTCAAGCCAATTGTAGCCCCTGAACAAGTGTGGTCCCAAAGTAATCACGATCACTATCACAATCATCCTGTTGTTTGTGGATTGCCTGAGCAGGAACCTTCGTCTCCTTCGTCCTAGCCCTGAGATTTTAAAAAGTGCCATGTTCAAGGCTCTTCCAGGGTTAGAAAGTAAAAAGTCCCAAAGTAAACAGAATTATATATGCTCTAATGAAATTAACAAGGTTTTTAAGTATGACTCGTTCTATATATTTCTTTAACTCTAAAATGTTGTCTTTACAGATAACACTGGTAGAACTTCCACAGGCACAATTTATGTTAAAGTACCTGGTTTCAGTGAAAATTGCCCAAAAATTTTCTTTGAAAAGGAAGTCATCTGCACTTCATCTCCTTCGGTGATTGTCTCAGCAAAAGTACAGGACAGAGACAAATACACTGGACCCTACACATTTTCACTGGAGGAGCAGCCTGTAAAGCTGCCAGTGGTATGGAGTATGACAACACTCAATGGTGAGGAATAGTAACATTGCTTCTGTAAATAAAAGTTGATGTTTCTCTGTATTTCTACCAGGGTAAAAAGAAGCTAATCTATAAGCAGATCCTTTCTACGAAGAATTAGAAAAACTTACTTGTAGTAAAAGTGAACTCCTGGTATTAAGTATTTGCTCTCTCTTCTGATAAAGAATGGTGTAATATTACCACTAATTTAATATTTTGTCATGTGACTGCTATTTTAAAATACTTTGTTTTCACTTCCATGGAACTAAGCATATTAATCAGGCATTTATTTTCTTAAATAAAAATTTTTAATTTCTAAATACACTAACTTTTCTTAATAAGGCAATTTATAAGCAAACATTTAAAAAAAAAATCTGGAGCGGCCAACCTGTTTAAGGTTCATAGGAAGGACTGCTAGTCTGATAACTTGAGAACATGTTGGACTGAAAATTACAAACCCAAATGGGAAAAAACAATTCCATACTTCTTTTCCCCTTAACACTTATCAGACTAACTGTCACATTTCCTGTATCTTCTAGTATTCATATAGCTATATATAAATCTTGTCCCTTTCTGGGTTTTCTGGGGAGAGTAATATACATTTGTACTGGGGATTATGGGGTTTTGAGGTACCAGAAATCAAACCCAGGGCCTAACATGTGTTTTCTACCAGTTCTATCACAACCTCAGTCCCCCTTTCTAGATTTTATAGTAACCATCAGGCCACTTGAAATTCTTTCTAAACAGATTCACTTTTCTCAAGTGCTTTTCTAAACCAATCTTGTTTCTTTTCATGAATGTACTTAAAGGTGCCCTTAGCCACAAGTATTAGTCATTGCTTGAGTCATCACAAGGATCTCCCCAGCCTTCTTTCCTAGGGCCTTGCTGATACTAATGTAAGACTCTAACTCTAAACTGTGCAGGTAGCAGTTAGCATCAAGTGGGTTTTTCAGACACAACACTGATGAAAAGATTGCAAAGGAAATATCAGAAAGAGAGAGAAAGAGAAAGAGAGAGCGAGCCTGGTATTAGATGCACATACACTTGTTTGGGAGATTCTGGGCTAGCCAATCATTGAACTACAAGGTCCTAAGGCAATCGTAATTGGACTGGGTCTAACCCAGTGAACAGTGTCAAAGAAAAAGTTGGTGTCAGAAACTATTCATGTAGCACAACCTTGTAACTTATGAGAGATGCTGGCTATCCACTTAGAAAGAGGTAATGGAAAATGGAAAATCATCAATGTTCATGAATCAAGTAGGATTCACCATAGACAAGACCTACAACTGGCATTTTGTTCTCAGATTAAAGAATGACAGGAGTAGAGGGAGGTATCAACAGCCAAAGCAGACATTTAGCCTCTGCAAGAGAGCACAAAATCATGGGTGTGGGGAAAGGTATACATAGGAGAACCAGGAATTAGTACAGAAACAGCAGAGAGTAGTTGAATCCCAGGAGAGGGAGTGGGAGACTGGTCATTTAAATAATGCCAACTTTCCACCATCTTTTAGGTAGATGTGGGGTGGAGAGATTAAAACAGAATTTTTTCCTGGAGAAGAATAATGGACACATCCACTGCAGAGACAAGCTATAGGAAGTAAAACAGGTTTACCCAAACGAATCCTTCTAGCTCTCATAACTGTCAAAATTTTACCCAGGCTAAGCTCCAATATTTGCGGTAGTATGTTTATGATCATTCAAGTTGTATTAAGCAAAAACAGTTTGAAGAGCCAAAAACATCTTGTCCTACCATTAATTCATATGAATGTTTCTCTACAGCTACTTCCGCATTTATAACAGCCCAGCAACAGATAGCTCCTGGAACATACAAAATCCCGCTTGTAGTTATGGACAGTCAGGGCCAGTTGTGTGAGATGCCTGAGAACTTGAACCTGGAAGTCTGCCAATGTGATGACAGGGACATCTGTGGCACTACTTATCCAAACAAAGACCATGATCCCTCATATGAAAAGAAGTCCTGGGTAGGACTGGGGCCTGCTGCCATTGGCCTGATTTTCCTTGGTCTTTTGATGTTGCTGTGTGAGTATATCAGAGCTTTGTTCTGTTTTTTATGGGCTGTCAGCTTTCACAGAGGTTTTTGTACTGTACAGGCAGTTCATCTCTGCAAGGCACAACAATTCTCTAATTGGTTTTCAGGCTAATATATCAATAGATAATGATCAATCCTTCCCAGACATTTAAGATAATCATAGAATTAAGGACAGCATTAAATTTAAAACATCTTTAGAAGTTTTAAGTATATGTGATATGCTTATTAACAAAAGTAATATTATTACTTTTTAATAAGCATTTCTTTTAAAGTATTATTAGTAAAATCTGGATTTTATAGTCTCTGAGTCTTGGCCGCTGATGGGATCCAGATCCCGGATCCCGGAAAATCCAGATCCCGGAACCGCGCGGCCGCATTTGCGGCCGCGCGACATTTTATTACCTCATTCCTACTTTGGACAAACTTGCAGGCTATCCGAATGTAGCCTGCCCACAGGGCAGAGTCTGGCAAACTCCCCGTGGCCTACCAAATATGCCAAATACCAGTAACAATGATGGGTCTCATTCTCCTAAAGAGCCGTGAATATAATCTCAGGGCTAGGATGAAAGAGACGTTACTGGGGCCTGCTCGAGGCAATCGACGATTAACAGGATGATGAAATGAAAATGATGAAAAAAATTAGTAAAATAAAAATATTAATTATGAGAACATACATTATGTCCAATCATATTGTATATTTTGTCATATACACTTGGCTAATTTTTTCTTAGTTCATGTAGGACTTACCAAATTTGCAAAACTGATGTCGCCCATCTTAGCAATATTAGCAAATCATTATTGCATTCACTACTGTCCTTAATATTAACTGATTGAATCCCAAAATAATATAACTCATTTTATAGATGAGTTAGCGATTATAAGTAAGATAAAATTATCTCACTGATCCAGATGTCAAGGATGGAGCCATTATTCAGACCAAAAATTCAAAAAAAGAAGTATATTTCCAGCAACTGTGCTTTAAGTTCCTTACCACGCTGCCTCTAAATGAACAAAGTTCAAATGTTAGGATTTTGGTGACCTTGCCAGGCCAAGATGGATGTGAGGCCACTTATTATCAAGAAAATGTAGAAAACACTTGAAAAAAAGAGAATTTCTCTCTGTCTGTTAGTAGAAAAATTATATTTATTATAAATATGTAACTGACAAGCACAGAAAGTATGAAAATTACCCTAGTGGCAAGAACTCTCCATATCAGGGATTCTTAAGTCAAATGTAAGAGTAAATAGTCATATCATAGATCATCACTCCAGCTGAGAGGGGTTGTTTGCTAATAACTGTTTACTAAGAATAATTAGAGACTGGATTACTGGAACATTATCTTACCCACCAGGAATCTTGAGCATCCAGTTGTGTTTACCCAATAGAATATCATAGCCTCGACATGTGCAAATAAAGCAATAATACTGTTGTGGAAAATTATTGAGAAACTGCCTTTCACCAAACAGCGCTTATTTTGAGACAGCAGTATACATATGAGAATGATGATTCTATCTCCATTAGTTTTATAATTATATGTTTAGAATGCTCAATTGATTAAATTTTAAAGACACTAATTTTTGTTTCTATTAAGAATGTCCCATAGTCTTGACAATACTGTATTTTCTTTGCATTGTTTCTGGTAACTGTCTTGCCAATCATTTCCTAGTGTTGCAAATATTCTTTTTTTTTTAAACAGTGGTGCCTCTTTTGCTGCTGACCTGTGACTGTGGGACACAATCTATTGGGGGAGGAATAGGTGGATTTGTCCCAGTTCCTGATGGTTCTGAAGGAACAATTCATCAGTGGGGAATTGAAGGAGCCCAACCTGAAGACAAGGTGAGAATCAAGTTTTTGAACACTTATTTCAATCATGTTGAGGAAAATCCTATTTATACTGATACAGGAAAATGAATAATAGAATTTTTAAAAACCTGGCCTTGAAGGCCAGAAAGATAATACAGAGAGACCGGGTGAAGGCTTTGCCTTGCAGTTGGCGAAACCCAATTTGATCCCTGGCACCCTACAAGATATTCCGGCAGCACCTGTGTGATTCCTGTGCACAGAGCCAGGATTAAGTCCTAAGCATGGTCTTAATATACACCCAAACCCTTTCTCTCAAAAATTGAACTTATTGATATTTAGTTTGTGAGACAGCACTAGAAGGAGACTTTTAGAACATTAGCTTTTCAAATGTCAAATCATGAAAGTGGTAACTCCTGTAAGAATTTAGTAATAGTTACCATTGGCAAAGTATTACACTTCACCTATATTGACACGAAATCTGATTCATTTATAAATGGTGTGGTTGCTTTTTGGTTTTTTTTTTAGGAGGATCCTCGAAAGCAGTGTTCAGGGGACCCTTGGCCAGCTACACAGACAGTGAGTGAATTTGTGAAGGATATAGTGCAGTTTAGAATACTTGAAGGCCACTAGAACCACATCCTAGAACTGAATAGGGGTACTGAATATGCAAAATATGAATTCGGGACCCTTATGCTTATCTCCCAAATGTCTGTGTTTATTCTCTTTAACTTGTTTTATAGGAAATCACAAATATCTGTGTGCCACCTGTAACGGCTAATGGAGCTGATTTCATGGACAGCTCTGGTAAGTGAAAATCCAAAATGTATTAATTTGTTTTTGAAAGCAACAATATATTAAATTTTTTAAATATAAAAATTAAGAAGGTAAAGTTAAAGGTAAAGGCCCTCCCGTTGATCGTCGATTTGCTCGAGCGGGCCCAGTAACATCTCCATTGGAGACTTTGTTGTTACTGTGTCTGGCATATCGAATACTCTCGGTAGCTTGCCGGGCTCTCTGAGAGGGGCAGAGGAATCGAACTCGGGTCGGCCATGTTGGCCGCTTGTAAGGCGAATGCCCTGCCTGCTGTGCTATTAAGAAGTAACTATAAAATAATTTCTTAATAAGTTGCATATATATGCTCACACTGAACTAAGGTTTCAATGAAATGGTTTACCATTAATGTATTAGACAATCCATGACCAAACTTTGACTTCAATAAGTTTTTGTTGTTTACATTCCAATATTTTTCATATTTGAAAAATTGTTACATTTTTCCCCAACTTTAACAAGCTAAAATGTAGCTCTCACTTACCTATTTTTATAAGGAGATATTTTACACATATAGAAACATAAAGAAAAATATGCGAACACTACGTACCAAACAACTGATTGTATTTAACATTGGGCATATTTATCGATAAAACTTTGTGTATCCTTCATCTTGTTACTCTTCTTACTTCCCCACACTTACAGAATCCTAATTTGAGTAAATTTAAGATTTTTATATTTAATCACAATGCAACAGGATGACTTATGTTGTCACAAAAGTAAAGGTAAGGTAAAGGCCCTCCCGTTGATCATCGATTTTGCTCGAGCGGGCCCAGTAACATCTCCATTGGAGACTTTGTTGTTACTGTGTTTGGCATATCGAATACTCTCGGTAGCTTGCAGGGCTCTCCGAGAGGGGTGGAGGAATCGAACTTGGGTCGGCCATGTTGGCCGCTTATAAGGCGAATGCCCTACCGCTGTGCTATCGCTCCAGCCCCAAAAGTAAAATTATTTATTTCATTCATCAGACAACTCCTAATGCCAAAACTAAGACAAAATCTAGAAAAACAATAAAACCTGACACCTAGATTTAAATTTCTCTCAATTGAATATTTAACATTAGATTGTTCTTAAATGTTCAGCCTGCAAAAGCTGTAAGAGATCACCCCCAAAATATAGCAATCTGCCTTTATCTGTCAATCCTCACCTGTTTTACCTTTATAATTACATAGAGAAAAAAACTACACTCAGGATTCTCTGTAAAAAATACTTGAATGAAAATATAATATGAAGTATAAAGACAGAAAGGTTAAAGACAGAAAGGTTATAACTCATTAATTGAAATTAAAAACTGACACTAAATTAGCAAGAGTGAATTTACATGATTGTATTATTGTATGTTTTCAATTTGGTTTCCATATTGAGCCAATATGACAACTTAATCACACTTCCTTCTTTCCTGAACATAAACATTGTTTTAGATCTGTGTACTGAATTTTCTGTCCTTTTTGGTTGTTGATATAAAAATTGATTTCCTTCAGACACTTTATAATTGGCATGTTCTGAGAGCTATTTCATCAACTGACAGACCCTCTTCTGTTAATCTCATATGACAGAACAAACTGGAATGTCCCTAAGATCCCTAGTCACATAACTTAGTTTTTCCCCACTTACTTGGCAACAGTTCACTGATATCAAATACTAGTTAAAAATTAAGTTAAAAATCACAGTGAGAGATGCTACCAATTTTCTTCCATTTTCAGAAGTTTGTACAAATACTTATGCTGGAGGGACAGTAGTTGAAGGGGCTTCAGGGATGGAACTGACTACCAAGCTTGGAGCAGCAAATGGTTCTGCGGCCACTGGAGCATTTGGCACAGCCATTTGTTCTGCTGGACTGTCTGGAACAATGAGAACGAGGCACTCCACTGGCGGAAGCAATAGGGACTATGCTGAAGGAGCAATAAGCATGAATTTCCTGGACTCCTACTTTTCTCAGGTAACTTTTCGACAAGCTTAGTGGCTTTCTTACCTTACTTACCCAAGTTCCTTTTACTATACTTCAGACCAGCAGTTAAAATACAAGAGGAAAATGGGGATTCTTTGCCAAAATAATGCAGATGACCTAGTGTGGTAGCTAAAATTGAGTTCCTGGTCAAAAGCTAGAATGTGTAGAGAGTCAAAAAAGACATTGAATAGCAGCATATCTCTCCAACTAGAATAACAATGGAAATAAATTCTTTTGGGTTTGGGGACCAAAGCATCCACTTTAGACATGCAGAACATCCTATTTTGCATATCTCATACCAAAAAAGAGGTAAAAGTACAAAAAAAAAATTTCTGTTTGTGCATGTGTTTTTCAGAGTCATCACTGTATTTTCAAAGGAGCCTGTGTCCCACAAAATTAAAAAAGAAATCAATGTCCCAAAATTAAAAAGTGGGATAAGGGAAATATTAAGATTAGATGAAAATAAAGATCATGAAAGGGAAAAATACAAGAACAAAGAGGACTTTGGGAGGCAGGCTGTTTGCCTCTTGGTTGATATCCAAAGAAGGAGATAGACACATTAGAATAGATCTTTCACTTAGTTCCCTCTCAGAATAGGTGGTGCCAGGGTTTGTTATGCAAGCAAATGACAGTGACTGTCAGAGGAGAGACAAGATGAAGACTCATGGACTTCCAAGGAGTGGGGTGGCGTTGGTTAAAGGGCTAACTGGCATGGGGTCAGCTGCCATGGACAGTGCTCTGTAGCATGCATGCCTCCTAGCCCCAAACACAAAACCAGGCTTTCTCATAAGACCACACCAAGAGGTTCATGCTTGGCCTCTGGCTAACCCCAGGTGTCATACACAGTTGCACCAACCTATATTTAAGCTATTTCAAATTAAAATTAAAGCATGAACCTAGGGGCTAGAGTAATAGTACAGTGAGGAGGACGCTTTCCCTGCACACAGTCCACTCATCTTCAATCCCTAACATCTCAAACGGTCTCTCAAGCACTATTAGGAATAAGTCCTGAGTACAGAGCCAGGACTCACCTCTGAGCATCACCAGTTGTACCCCCACCAAAAAGAAAAGATCTTAGGATACTCCATGATGGGGGCAGACGGGGCCATATCTGGCAGTGCCCAGGACACAGGATATTGGCACACCTGGCTGTGCTCAGAAGACTATATGAGGTACCAGGAACTGAACTTGGATCACCCTTAACTGTTCTATCTCTTCAACCCTACATCATTTTTAAGACATATTAACTACATTATTCTCCAAATACCAAGTAACTTCTGTAACAACAAAACTGTTGGTGTAAACAAAAATATATGCCTTTATAGTCATATATTATCTAAATTGCATATTCATGATCCAAACTTGACCTCTATGAATAGTGTTATTTTGCCAACTGAGTCTCTTTTAAAATTCCACAGTGGGGGGGGGGTGGCAGGGAAGAGGGGTTGAGTAATAATACAGCAGGTAAGACTGGCCATGCATGTATGCATGTTGCTGAGTCGGGTTCCATCCCCAGCACCCCATCTGGTCCCCCAAGCACCACCAGGAGTAATTCTGAGTGTAACCCCTGAGCATTGATAAGCATGGCCCCAAAACCTAAATAAATAAAATTCCTTTTTCTCCACTTCTCTCCATTTTTAGAAAGCACTTGCCTGTGCAGAGGAAGATGATGGCCAGGAAGCAAATGACTGTTTGCTGATCTATGATGACGAAGGAATGGGTGTCCCAAGTTCTCCCGTGGGCTCCCTAGGTTGCTGCAGCTTTATTGCTGATGACATGGATGACAGCTTTTTGGACTCACTTGGCCCCAAATTTAAAAAGCTCGCAGAGATTATTAGCCTCGGAGTCAGCGCCAATGAAGTCAAACTATCTCAGCCACCCACCACAGGAAGTGGTTCTGGGATTGAGGTCTGCAGTCATTCTGTGGGGGTCCAGCAGCTAGGATCTGCAAGGTACCAAACTCAGTCAGGCAGTCAAGGAGCTACCGCTTTGTCCACTTGTGGCCCTAGCCTCCAACCAGCCATTTCCATCCCTGACCCTTTGCAGAGTGGTAGCTTTTTGGTAACAGACACTTGCATGACTTCTGGTTCCCTCATGCAACCTGCCACTGCAGTCTTTGATCCACTAATCACGCAAAATGTGATAGTGAGGGAAAGAGTGATCTGTCCCGTTTCCAATGTTCCTGGCAATGTAGTTGGTCCAACAGATATACAAGGGTCGTGTAATATAATTTACCCACAAGATTCTTGTTCCCGTCTGATATGACCAGAGTGAATTGGTATAACATACTAACCCTATATGAAATTCTGATCCAGTTATTTAAAATGGGATAGCAAAGTTCACAGTATTGGTCTAACTTGGTATGTGTTACTCTCATAAAAGTGATTATGATTATACTTATTCTGGGTTATACACTCAAGCTAGATATACTGTCACTCTTAATTCTCAAATACTATTCAAGTGGTAGTAAAACATAATGTTTTCAAAACATGAAAAGCTCATATTCAGAAGAGAAAATTCCAAACCATTCTTAAATTTCTGGGGTTTTTTGTTTGTTTGTTTGATTTTAGTGCCAAAGAAAGGTATCTATCACTACAAGGTGCCATGTGTTTTAGTGGAGTCAAGAGCCTCCACTCTTGTCCCAGACATCTTTTATTATTTCATTCTTAATAATGTAGGAGTGTTATGGTATTTGAAAAAAGCATTTTGAGATGTTTAGTAAAAAGAAATTAGTCATGGTTGAGTTTTGTATTTTCTATCTTCCTGGTGCTGGAAGACTGCATCTCTTGCTCAAGCCAAAGGCTTATGTATGAAACTTGCTACAACTATTGCCCACATAACCTCACAATATGGCAGTTTTGAAATATAAATATTATAGAAAATTTAAGAAGCCTAAGAATGATGTAAATATTTTGTGTGTTTTTTAAAATACTTCAAATTGATCTACCTAAAGAAAATATTTTACGCTTGTATTCCTTTCTACTCACTTCTCAGTGACAAATCCTATATTATTTGTCTGAAAACCGCTGCCTGTTTTTAAAGTACCAGTGGATAGATATAACTTACAAATTCTATAGTTGCATTTATTCTATTAATAATGTCTACATATTTGGGGGGAATATTTATAGTATGGCATTTCTTTTTCACAAGAGTTTCTAAGTAGAATAGCACACAATGAAATTTGTGAATATGTATTATATAAAAATAATGTCAGGTTAAAGCAGTATATGAAAACATATTTTTAGAAACCTCTGGTTTTTAAGCCTTACTCTAAAATAGTGACAGCTATTTAATTCTTGAGCATAACAATTTAGGTAGTTAAGTATTTTATTCATTTTTCTGAGATAACAATACAACTCTTAAAAGCATTTCCATTGCTTCAAGAACTTTATCTTTTCACATAATCCTACCTGCTTGTCAATATTATTGTCTTAGTTTGGTCTTTATGAGGCCATTTATTTGTTCCCTTGTTACTAATTGTACATAAAATTTACTTCTCTCATTTTGCCACATTATATTCAGACCTATATTTTTTTATAGGTGAAATGCAAAATAATCTACAGTGTTTACCTAAAAGGATATAGTTCTGAGCATATCTGGGGTGGAATGGAGGAGACTTTTTTTTTTGGTGGGACGGGGAGGGTCATCACATTCAGTGATACTCAGGAGTTACCCCTGGCACTGCACTCAACTGACGTTGCTCTTGGGACTCTGGGGATCAAACCCAGGTTGGCAGTTTGCAAGGCAAATGTCCTATCCACAAAGTTGACTTGAATCTCTGGTTATCTTGATATTTAAATTAATAATTATAATTAACATTATTCCAAGTTCAAAGGTGCAACCAGTATCCTCAAAATATCTTAATTCTGTCTTTTAAAAGAAATTTATCATGAAACAGGAATCTTGTTACCTTATCAAACTATAGAGTATGCCATAGTAGGAAAATTTTTACAAGGGGAAATTGAAACTAAATATCCCTTACAATGAAAATATACTTATCTTCTCAAGGAGGACCTAAGATTAATTTATAGTATAAAATGTTTAAGTAAAACTGTATAGTGTTTTTCACTAAACATAAAAAATGTTTCAAACAGAAATTTTAAGCTGTTTACTTGCCAATGTATCAATTTTAAACTCTTAAACTTCAATAGTGTAACATTGTTATAATAAAACTGTTTGGCAATAAATCCCTGAGTAGTCTCTTCACTACTTAGTAAAATTTAATTAATAGTTATTAAATATTTAAACGTTATTTGCATATGTATTTTATTCATATTTTACTTTTTTTTTCTAGCTGCTATCTTTCCTGAAATCTCTTAGGTAGAGGCTCAGAAACTCAGGCTCTCTTCTTCAAGTGGAGATAATAGTGAATGAGATACCAAACCAAGCCTGTGCAGACTTTAAGTAACTACTGTATCTTTCAGTTCATTTACTGTTTGGTAATTTGGAATAGTCTCTCAGACAAAAATTTTGGTTATTTGACTTGAGGACTGGAGGTAGCGACCAGAAGCTGAGCCACACCTACCTGTGCTCAGGGCTTACTCCTGACTCTGTGCTCAGGAGTATCTTTTGGCAGTGTTCAGAGGACCATGAAAAGTGCTGGGGATCAAACCAGAGTCAGCTGTGTGGCAAGTCAATGGCCTCAACATCTGAACATCTCTTTCCACTAGAAGTTTTGACTCAGAGAGAAAAGATGGAGTGAGAAAAAGGTAAAATTTCTGGCTTAACATGTGTTTTAAAAAGAAAAGTCATGACCCTGGGGACTGCCATTGGATTCTGCAGTGGGTCTGTTTCCCAATAAATATCTATTATTTATGTCTCCCTGTAGATTCCACTAAATAATTCCCCTCAAAACTTGGAGTCTTGCTTCTGGCTGACATTCCTCATTCTTAAATGCAGAAATTCAACTTGCAATTGGAGCCTGGGGAGCAGAAACTGGACTTGGATGTGAAGTGAAGACATATGGATGGCTTAACTTGAGTATTACAAATCAGTGCAAAGAAAATGAAGTTGATGAAGGTAAATTGGAATAGTATTGCTTTTCTCCTATTAATAAAAAAAAGTGTAGCAAAAACTGTATGTTTTAACTTATAAAAAAGCAAAAAAAGAATATAAAGTGAATACATTCAGCTAACTAATTTCAATTAAACTAGTAGTATAAAATCAAGTAAAATTAGGTGGGAAATATAGCTCCCTGATAGAGCACTTGCATAAGATCCTGGTTTCAATTTATATGCACCATTAATTTAAAGAGAATGAGAGAAAATCAGTAAAATTAAAAATCTTTTTTCTGTGTTGGTGATTCAGCATTTTCTTCAGTTCCTTTACTGTGTCTACAAAAATTAATTCAAAGTCAGAGATTACATAATTTAATACTGTACAACAACTTAGCCTGCGATGATTTTATATAGGGAAGATAGCTGATAAGAGGGGAAAAGATAATCATTTAAATCCCAGGTGTCTGAGGCTACATTTTTCTTGATGAATATTGAGATGCTTCACCTGAACCAGAATGCAGAGTTCCCCACTTTACAACACATCAGTCATTCCAGGTTAGTGTAGTTATTTTTTTTTTCTTTCTTAATGTTGGAGTACTGCTATTTATTCAGCCATTGATTGAGCTGATTGAATCGGGCATGAACTCCACATTACTTTTTAAGTTTTTTTAATTGAATATCCGTGAGATAGACCATTACGAAGCTGTTCATAATTGGGTTTCAGTCATACAATGATCCAGCAATCATCCCTCCACCAGTGTACATTTCCCACTACCAATGTCCCCTGTTTCCCTACCATTAGCTCCCAACCCCCACCTTCTACCTCCAGCCTCCCTCTATGGGAGGCACATTCCTTCTTGCTTTCTCTCTCTCCTTTTCCTTTAGTGCATTATGGTTTGCAATACAGGTGCTAAAAGGTCATGGTGTTTGTTCAGGGCACTCAGTATTTTTATCGGATGGTAAGTCTGGAATAACTTTTCAATTGGGTGGCCGCTTTGAGATGTTTTGTGACTGCAAAGGTTCTTGGAAGTACAGGGAGGTGGGGGGAGGTAGCCCATGCCAACCCCAAGAAAGCCTGGAAATTTCAGTCACAAAACCCACATACCCAAATTTTCAGCGGATTATATCTTGGTGAAGTCTGTCCTGAGATGGTGGAGTCAGACCAGGGGTAGGGAGGCGATTTTGGATTATAGAAGCAAGCAGCTGCTGGAGACTCTGCTTGGGTGGGCCCCTGGCAAAACCCACCCCCTCCGATTTACTCTGGTCGGTTCAGCCATGCGTAGGTCCAGGATTGACTGCAGCTTTTGATCTCCTTCAAGATTTATATGCCTCTGAAATGAGGCCAATAAATTAGCTTATATAGCTGAACTGGAGGTGGTTTGTGGGCATAGCTTCCACATATCTAACTTTTGGCCCTTTAATTTCTTAGTAAACTTGGCCATAAATTGTTGGGTGCAACCAAAGGCACAGTGGTAATTTTGGGATATCAGGAAGCCTGAAGTTACCATCACTCTGCTGGTATAGGTTGACCTGGTGGTGGCACCATACTGCCTAATGTAGTTATTTTTCTTATATTCACTGTCACTGTCATATTGTTCATCAATTTGTTCGAGCAGGCCCAGTAACTTCTCCATTGTGATAATTGTTACTGTGCTTGGCATATCGAATACATCACAGGTAGCTTGCCAGGCTTTGCCATGCAGGCGAGATACTCTCGGTAGCTTGCCAGGCTCTCCGAGAGGGGAGGAGGAATCAAACTTGGGTCAGCCATATTGGCAGCTAGCAAGGCAAACGCCTTACCCGCTGTGCTATCGCTCCAGCCCCTTTTCTTATATTAATTTACTTAGTTTTATTTACAAGATCAAAACAGAAACAATCTAGAAACATTTTAAAAGTTAAGAAGATGATGGTCTGAGAACAAATGCAAATATTATCAAAGTAGAAAGAAAAAAGACATTGGTGAAGGCTGCAGATGGCTCAGTTACATATTCTGATTTAATTCTTACATTAACCCTGAGACTACAATCTCAAAAAGCAGAGATTTAGAGAAGCAAAGAACAGGGTAACACTAAAAGATACACAGTATTAAAGCTTAGATATTCTTATTCAATATATTATTAGCACTTAAATCTATTCCCACCTCTAAGACTTGAATAGAACATAAAATAGTGAAAGGGAGAAGTTAATTTAAAACCTAGAAATCTAGACACAATTATAAATATTTAAGAATCAATAAAATGGATCCATACTTTAAAAATTAAAATGGGG